TATCTGGGGAGCTGGAAGATGAGAACTGGCGACTTTGTAGTACAACTGTAGTACGCGGAGTATCTGGGGAGCTGGAAGATGAGAACTGGCGACATGGTAGTACAACTTTAGTACGCGGAGTATCTGGGGAGCTGGAAGATGAGAACTAGCGACTTTGTAGTGCAATTATAGTATGCGGAGTACCTGGGGAGCTGGAAGATGAGAACTGGTGGCTTGGTAGTACAACTTTAGTACGCGGAGTTTCTGGGAAGCTGGAAGATGAGAACTGGCGACTTTGTAGTACAACTTTAGTAGTACAACTTTAGTAGGCGGAGTATGTGGGGAGCTGGAAGATGAGAACTGGCGACTTGGTAGTACAACTTTAGTACGGAGTATCTGGGGAGCTGGAAGATGAGAACTGGCGACTTGGTAGTACAACTTGAGTACGCGGAGTATCTGGGGAGCTGGAAGATGAGAACTGGCGACTTGGTAGTACCACTCTAGTACGCGGAGTATCTGGGGAGCTGGAAGATGAGAACTGGCGACTTGATATTACAACTCCAGTACGCGGAGGTGACTTGCGAGAGGTCAAGAACTTGCAGAAAAAAGGTGTTCCTGCGCGTCAGAAAGACAAAGAGTACAGAGAGAGACTCATACACACACAGACATAGATACACACACAGAGACCCACACACTACCTCAACTCACTCGACTTAACACTTCACACAGAACACTTAACAGATAACTCACACTCTGACTTCCTACATGATGAAAAATGCTTTCGGGCCACTGCTCCCTTTTGTATTGAAAACGAGAAGGAAAGATTTCCTTGGAGGAAAATCATCCAAAAAAATGCATTGGCCTTTCCATACTAAATTAGTATCTCCCCAATCTACTAAACGGGGGTATGGGGCCCGCCTTTTGCATGTTGTTGTGTTGTTTTCAAGTGTTGATGGTGTTGTAGATGTGCATGCCCACGGGTGTTGTGGATAAAGTCAACGAACATGTACCTGGCGCAAAAGATGTAGAAGCTGTTGTGGAGCAACGTGTTCTTCATGAACAATATCAATACGTGTTCCATTGTAAGGATTCACAACATCATTGTGTGTTGATTGAGTTCCTCCAATGTTACAGTTCTACCACCACCGCCTGATCAAGCACCGCGAGGAGTTGCGGATCCTGGACAAAAAACTCAGCAAGGTGATTGCGTTGATCCGACGCCTTAGCAGATTTGGAGAGTTCAGAGTTCATGTGGCAAGCACATGTTTGCTTTACGCTTGCTTTACGCACCCATTCTAGATCAAGGTTCGCCAGGGTTGCGGCGATGTGTCGCATGATGCATGAAAAGGGTGACATGTTCAACAATGTAGTTTGCCCTTGCTCCGTGTTTCCCAGCCAATTCATTCACTCACAACCTGACACGCTTGCCAGAGTTGTATAGTCTTGAAGGCCGCTTAATTTTTGGAGACTCAGGAAAGGATGCTGTTTCGAAGGACAAAGCCCACCACAGAAGGACCAAGTGGAGAGTAAGATGCACTCTGGGCACAACTCAGGTTAGAAATCCAGAGTTAGGCAGCGCGTGTGGCATCCAAGCTAGCTATCAGATTTCGGAGTTTGGCATTGTCCCTTGCAGGTATTTTGTGTTTTTTTAGCGTGGATCCGATAGCAGATATTGTTTGTTAGCAGAAGGCAACGCTGAACAGTTATTGTCTTTAAGTCCTAAAGAAGGGCCGTCACCCTGCGGTTCACCTCTTGGGCCTCCAAACCGTATCCCCATGTACGTATTGTACCAGAGTGCTGGCCCAGCACCTTGTCTGATGGGAAGTCAATTCAGTGGGTTCTGCTGCTCATTGCTGCTCAATACGAACGCACACTGTTTCATGCTGACTTGACGACAAACAGGAGGCTTGACCCCGTATGTTCTCTTTTGATGTTTCTTTTGTTTTCGTTCAGCATTTCCTCGATAAAACGTGACACAGGTTCCAGATTCAGCTGATGCCTTTTCGTTTTGTCACGTGCGCATATCCTGGAAGGTGACGGCTTAAGGCTGTCCAAGTTTTGAGAATCCCTCAACTGCTTTGATGCATGGTAGGTTTTTTGTCGAAGTTTGGATGGGTTCAAATTGTTTTTCTGTTTCTCGGTCGCGGGTGTTCAAAAGCGTTGACAAGCGTTAACACCCCCTTTACGCTTGTGCTTGCATTTGTATCGACTGCGCCAACTTTACGCTTGTGCTTCCTATTGATGTGCAGGAGAAGCAGGAATACCCATAGAAACTTCAAGTATTGCTTCGCTGGTGCCTTAGAGCTTAGAAAAACATAGCATGGAAGGATGTCAACAAAAATTGAGTGATTACATTAAAATGGAGTGGAAGCTTGCAGCGCTCTTCAATGCCCAAAGCACTTCCCAGGTGTTGATGATGCAGCAACTGAGCTTGTGCGCGGTGGTCACATGCTGTAAGCCTTCATCGAAGACAGAGGGGTGTATATACCGGCTGCTATTTGCTTAGAACCCAAGTGCATCGTTCTTCTTCCAGTCCACTTTTGCTTGACCTTTAGCAATGCAGATCGGAGACAAGATTGTTGAATTGGGGGTTTGAGACGAGTCACAGATGCAGCGGCATGATTCTCATGATGTTGAGCAGATAAATGATGTCAAGATCCCTGCTGATATCTGCTGATGCTTTTCGAGGAGCTATGCCGTTTGATAATACCGCTGCTCGCCAACACATGTGAACATCAAGAATGACAGCGATTTGCAGCAGTCTGACCAATTGAGGGACGATGCACAACAGCTTTGCATGTTTGCATGCAAGACGGGAGCTTGCATTGAACTATTTTGCAGTGTTTTTCGCCACTTTGAGGGAGGGGGCAGCTTTCTACTCAATTCCTTCTAAAAAAAATCTGCCTGCATTGTATCCAGATTTGCTTCGGCCACTCACATGTTGATCAGGTCCTGGACTGGTGATGAAGGATTGCCAAACCAAGCACAAAAATATCATTGATTAACCACTGATCACTGCCAACGAAATGCATCAGCTCACCCTGACAATTACGTTGTGTGAAATGCACTCCATGCATTGGTGAGTTTGCTTGTTTTGATCAGGTTTGATCTGTTTGCATCTTGCCGCCTCTCAAGCTGGGCGGGTGATGCGCGCGTCTAGCCATAGGCTACGACTTGTGCAGGTACGACCTTACCTGGCTGACTGAGGAAAAGACCGCTTCCTGGACTTCGTGCGCCGGGATCCTTGAGATTGCAATTGTTCACCACCTCCATTTTTGAACTTCATTTTCTACTCCACCTACTTCAGGTTGCAACCTCCCTACCAGTGTGAATACTTGCCCAATTCACACTGGGAGCGGAGCTACGGCTCCGGCACCTTTAACATTGAGGTCGACGGTGGCACCTCAACTAGATCCAAGAGCCCCACGTGATCGTCATGGCTACTGGCTCAGGAACCACCTCAGGTTCAGTTGAAGTGACAAAGGACAACTTCATCCCTTTGTTCACGAACAACCCTCGCGACTATCGCGCGTGGAGAGCAAGGATCAGCCTGTATGGCAAAAAGATGGCCGTCCAGAATAAGACCAAAGAAGCTACCATCAACCTGCTCACATCTTTGCAAGGCATTGCATCGAGACAGGTTGAACACAATGCCGACAAGCTCGCCGAGGATGCTGAAGGTTTTGCCAAGGTCTTGCAGATCTTGGATGTGGTCTTCAAGTACGATGACCGTGTTGAAGCCCCTAGAGCTCGGGAGAACTTTTTCTATGCTGCTGGACGACAGCCACAACAAACCCTCCTCAGCAATATCTGGTTGGCTCCTCCTTCGACGAGCAGGCCTGACGGCCGACCAGCGTCACCTGGTGATGTCTCAGTGTGGCAGCAACACTGAGACCATGAAAGTTGAAGAAGTGATGTATTTCTTGTTTGGTCAGGACTACCGCACCAGTGCACCTCGCTGGACCAGTTCTCGTAGCACCACCAACTCCTGGCCTCGCTACAACAAGAGCTTCAATAGAGCCTACATGGCTGAAGATGAAGAAGAGTTTGAGTAAGTTAACTTTTTCTTTTGTCTAAGTTATTTTTTTTGCATGTGAAAAAACAAGCCTTGGACAACTAAAAAATTGTGACTTAGACAAGAATTTTGTTGTCTTAGACAAAATGAATTTGACGAATTAGTTAGATTCACAAGATTTAGGGATAATTTATTTTTTGTCTTAGATGGTCTTTAGGGTATGAAGACGCCTATGCCTATGACGACTACCCTGCGTATGACCCCGCTGATGAGGAGCAAGAGTTGTATGAAGAAGGTGAGGAAGCTCACCATGAAGAAGAAGCCCATGGTCAGTGGGACACCAAACCTGCTGATGAAGAATGGGATGATGAGATGGAAACTGCATACAGCGCCTATTTGGACGCCAGAAAGAAGTTTGCAGAGCTGAAGGCCTCACGAGGTTTCTGGCCTGTGGTGGCTGTGCCCCCGGAAGGAACTTCATCATCTCCGAGCTCTTCCACGCTGTCCTCCTCAAAGGGGAAAGGTCGTTCCGACCAAAAGGAAAAGGAAAGAGAAAAGGTAAGTCCCCACGAAAGGGATCTCCGGCTGCTCGCACACCTGCAGCTGGCTACAACCCAGTGGCCTAGGCTCCACAATGTCCCAATGGACCATCCTCCAGTCGGACATCGACTACTTCACCACCGAAGAGAGCAAAACAAGATGCTATGTACGCCACTGGATACGTCGCCAATGGCTATGTGGATGCATTGCCCACCTCAGACCTTGTTGGCCTCTTGGACACTGGCGCAAGCAGTGTTGTGATTGGCCACAATGGCCTGATGACCATGTTGACACAGATGCACTCCTTTGGCATCACCATGGACTCCTTGCGGTTCAGACCTGCCAACAAGCTGTTCCACTTTTCCTTTGGGCGGGGTTCTTCAGGATTGGCCTCATGGAGCATCCACCTTCCGACCGTGATCAATGGCAGTCCGGGACTTCAAGTGTTCATTGTCGAGGGGAACACTCTGTTCTTGATTGGCCGTCCGATCCTGTCACACTTTGGCATCAAGATCGACTACAAGACCGACGCCATCTCCATTCAGGATGGACCATGGACACCTGCCTGACGAGGCAATCGAGGTGAGTACACACTGCCCCATCTTTGTGGAGAACCACACTTGGGACGCTGCCCACGATGACCTCATGACAGATGAGACCGTTGAACAGCTCACCAACTGCCATGAAGGCACTGTGGACCTTGACACCTACCTGTCCACCACTGGACGTTCTGGCCCTGAGCTGGCCCTTGCTGCTGAAGAACCACCTGCGGAGGAAGAAGAAGATCGTTTTGACCCTGCGGGTATCAACCTGCACTATGAGGAGTCCCCTGAAGATGTCTTCAAGCCCATCACGAACAAGTAGCTCAACAAGTTGAACAACTACCAGCAGTTGAAACAAGCGCAACAGCGACAGTCAATAGAACAAGCCCTACGAGCTTTTGAACGAGGCTCACTTCAGACTTGGGAAGTCTATGCAGGCTCCGGCAATCTTTCAGCTGCCTTTCAAGCCTTGGGTCATGAGACCATGAAGTTTGACATCAACAATGGCTGGGACTTCACGAAAAGAGAACATCAAAAGCAATTCCTGGCTTTGCAAACCAAGTTGTGCCCTCGCTTTGTGTGGATTGCACCACCTTGCAGGAAATGGTCACCTATGCAGCGCCTCAACGCCCGTGAGCCATGGCAGGGAGATCTCCTCCAAGCTGAACGTGATGTTGAAGAAAACACCCATCTCCGGTTCAGCCGTAAAGTCTTCGAGAACCAGTTGGATGCAGAAAACCAATTCTGGATTGGAACAACCCAAACATGCCGAGTCATGGAACACCAGCACCTTCAAGAGCATGGACTCACTTTGGCACAAGACACAAGTTGATCAGTGCGCCTTGGGAACTATGTTGCCTGATTCAGATGGCACGTACCTGCCGGTCAAGAAGCCACCACACTGGCACTGTCAGGTGCATTATTGGCTGAGGCACTTCATGCAGTATGTCCTGGTTGTCAACAACATCTTCCTCTGGAAGGATCTTCTCCAGGCATTGGAAGCCGCACTGCAGCTGCTGCCACGTACCAGCCAGGTATGTGTCAATTCTTGGCGGAGAACATCCACTACTTCTTGACCCATGAGACCGCCCTAGCTCAAGACGAAGAAGAAGCTGAAGTGAGCCAAAGAGGAATCCTTGGACGATTGCTGCCTAAGACAAAGCAGGAAGCTCAACGTACTCTACTTCGACTTCATCGCAATCTGAGCCATCCTACCAATGCAGCACTCATCAAGGTCCTCCGAGAGCACAAGGCCAATGAACTTCTCATCGAAGCCTGTGAAGAGTTCACATGCAAGACCTGTGCCTTTCGACAGAAACCAGTGCAGGCACCAAAGACTGGTCTCTACAAGGGCACCTACTTCAACCATCGAGTTCAAGCTGACACTATGTGGCTGAAGATCCATCGCAAGAACAAGGTCAGAGCACTTCCAATTCTCATCATGAGCGACACCACTACTCGCCTTGTCTCAGCTCGATTGTTGCCTGACGAACAGACCACAAGTTTCCAGCCAGCGCTTGAACGCACATGGATTCGCCACTTTGGCCCCATGGAGATTTTGCAAGTTGATGAACACCGAGGTTGGGCTAGCGACTCCATGAAGGAATGGTGCTCCCAACATCACATTGAGATTGTCATCTCCCCTGGCCAGGCCCATGAGCGCTTAGCCATCCTGGAACGACGACATCAGGTCATTCGTCGTGCGTTGGAACTGTTCCTCCATGACAGTCAAGACTACAGCGATGAGGGCGTGATCACAGCCATCTGCTACTGCATACCTCAGATCAACAGAACACCAAATGTTCATGGCTACTCACCCCTGCAGTGGACATTGGGCCACACGCCAACGTTGCCAGGCAATCTGTTTGAAGAAAAGCTGAATCCAACATAGCTGACTCCATCCATGGCCTTCCAGAAGAAATTGGAATATCAGCAAAAATGGCTTCCACCTCTGTTGCAAGAGCAGGCAATGATGACAGATTGCGCCGAGCACTCCTCAGGAAGTACCGTGGCAATGTTCAGCAGTTGCGCATTGGTCAAAGGTGTTTCTACTACAGAGATCTCCCTCAAGGACAATCTGCACTTGGCCCAAAGATCACCTGGCGTGGCCCAGCAACTGTTGTCATGGTTGAAGAGGAGAACAAGCTTTACTGGCTTGCTCATGGCACCAGTTTGATCCGAGCAGCTTATGAACACATCAGACCTCTTATGGATGCAGCACCTCTTGATGAAGAACATCGCACCAATCTACATGCCGCAAAGGATGCTTTGCAAGCTGTCAGAGGCGGAGGTGTGACACAGTACTTGGATCTGCCAAAATCCAACAAACGCTGCTTGGAAGAGCTGGACACTGAAGATGAGAAAGAAGAGTTTGACCATGACCACGTGGCTGTTGACTCATCATCCATGATACTTGGACCTGGACCCCCTGACCACCCAAACGGTTTGAAGCGACCAGAGATCAGCACTTCCGATTATGCACCTTCCTCCTTGAACGGAGAACCAGAGTCAAAGCACCACGCACTGGGGATGTTTCAGCACAACATGATCCAACACCACTGATCCCAACACTTGCACCACCCACTCAACCACATATACCACAAGAACCACCTCATGAAGTACAACCACCACCTCATGCATCACAACCCCATCTGGATGAGGCAGCCACACCCAATTTGGAATCTCATCAGGACCAGGTGGAAGACGGCTCCTCTGCCGGGCGCCAAAGAGCGGGAGCTGGTCCGCCGGAGAGAACCCGTACCACAGTCCTGACACGTCCAACCCATTTGTGGC